ATCTGAAGCTCTAAAATACAGCCCCTTTCCACCCTGTCAGAATAATCAACCAACAAATAATCGGCGCCAAATTTTTCGTCGATCTTCTCATCCAATTTGTGTGGTCTGAGTCTTGACGTTGTCACACAACACCTAAAGTTTTATGCCAGCTATGATGGAAATAAAAGCATTTATGAGGAGCTTTTTTAAAGCGGCAGTACACCCCGTAGAACACAACATTTTTTTGTATTTTCCTCTCAACAAAAATCGAAACTGGGTGCTATAGGGTAGAAGGGCACACCTATTGCCACTCGACATCAAACGAAATGAACAAAAAATGTGTCATAAAAATTTTGAAATGTCGGGGTTTTCAAGCTTTTTACTATTTTAGGAAACTCCCCGATTCAACCTCAAATTAGCATTAATGAAAGTGTAGTCCTCCTCAGCGCACGCCATCAATGCCGCTCGAAACTGCGTACAAGCTCAATTCTTCAATTCTTTACAAATAAACCAAAAAATATTCCGCTGAATTGCTAACCTTCTTCCTCCTCCTTTTTTTTTAAGTCGGTTAAAAAATGAAAAAAAAAACCAAATTACGTCTTTTCCATGTTTGTCATTTAATAACTTACATTGCCATTTATTATTTGTGTACATAGTTTTTATATATAATTTAGTTTTTTTTTTTATATGTTTATTTAACTTCACTTACGTACAAAATATGCAATAAATTAAATATTTAAACTTAGAAATTAGAAATACATAAAGCAAAAATACTAAATTACAACAATCTTTCTTTTATATAATAATTTTAGGTATTTATAGTATGTACTAGAAATAGGAAAATTTATTTGTATGCGTATGCGTTGCTGTGTATACAACTATGTATGTATGTCTGTAGTAAGCTTTTGCACGGAAAATTCAAAAAAATTTAGACATATAGACGTTTAGCTACAGCTTAAAAGTATTCTTCACTTAAAATCCTTTCTATGTATAATAGGGCAATGAAATCAACAAAAATCAGCACGCTAGTATTTTGAAATTTTTTTATATTATTGTGTATATAATTTTGTCTGCATGTGTTTTTTAATATATATTGGTGCCCCTAAGCTGATTTCACTCCTTCTGGCAGGTGAGTGGTGTGTGTATGCGTGTTTTAGCACACACACACACACACACACATAAATATGCATGCGAATCCTTAGACAATTAGAGTCTCCGCAGGATTCTAGGCGCTGTCTAGCAGACGCTTTTATAATTACTTTTACAGTTTTTATTAGTGATTCTTGTGTTTCTTTCTTCTTTCTGATAGATTCAAGCGTAAACTTATAAGCTGTAGCTAAACACAAATTGAAGTTGTTTTGTAAATATTTTGGAATCTTTTGTTTGCTTTTTGGGCTTTAAGATAAAAGTAAATTAGTTGTGTTTGCAAATGTGAGTGTGTGTGTGTTTTTGCAGGTGTATGTATGTGTGTACATGTGTTTCGAGTGTTAAAAATACATACAAAAATCTTACAACAGATTTCTTTCAAACGTGCTAAAAATTATAATTTTAGTATCTTAAATAAGAGCGAAACAATAAAGAGTCTGTGCTTTAGTTTTGGGAAAATTATGCAGAATTTCAATGCAAGCAGACCACAGCAAAATTACCTAAATTTATATAACATTTATTTTTGTTTAAAATTTTACCACCTAAATTCAAAATTTTACATACTTTTACGATTTGGCAAAATTTAACTAAAATTATACACATCAGTCGAAATAAGGCTACCGCCAACAACAGTTACATAAGTGTTTCATTTAATTTTGTTTGCATAAAAAAGTTTTACAATTGCATACTGCATTGTATTTGTTTTAAAATTGAAAAAAAAAAAAAAAATTATACAAAAAAAGCTATACAATTATTGTTTGATATGTGCTAAAAATTAAATTATGTATCAGCACAGTGTCTTCATTCAGAGTGATTTATATGAAAATTTAATTTTGCGAGCGCACTGATCTTAGCTGGCTTTTAAAGTTACATAGAAGTGTCGATCGCCAACCGACAAAACAACTTAAGCCACATTTTTTTTTTTTTTTTAAATTTCTGTTTGAAACAGAAATGCTCCTAGAACTGCTAGATTAATTTCTGGATCAAAAAGAAAATTTTGTAAAATATGTCGTTTAAGTTTTTTTGTTTTTGGCGGTTAGTATTCTGCTGCATAAATCACCACTTTTTCTATGGTAAGCGTAATAATTGTAAATATTTTACATATGTATGTATTTACAATGCCAGCTTTATTCAATCATGCATGTACAGTTAAGTGTAATATGCGCTATTGTTTCTATTATTTTTTTTTTGGACATTGCGAATTACAAAAATATATTTACAGAGTTTTTTTTGTTTGTATTTATAATTAATGTCATTTAGAATAAGTTGATTATGTTTCTTTGAGTTTTTTGATTTTTGTATTTGAGTTAAGCGGAATTTTTAATATTAAACTTTTTGCTTTAAATTTTTTAGCCGAAATCTTGCAGTGTGAATTTTTTGTTTGAACTTCTCTTTGCAGCAGCATATTTATTATAATTGTGTTTTACACAAAAAATTGCAAGCAATACATATACACACACAAAATTTTAATTACATGTTGCTTTTTTTACTAAAATAAATTATATATAATTTTTTTTTTAACAAAATGTTTTTAGCCAAAAACTACTTTCGCGCTAACTTAGGACCTGTACACGAATTTTTTCAAAAAGCGTTTAAAAATTTAGCAATAAAAAAAAGCAGGTATCCATAGTCAAAGCAAAGCTCAACATGAAATAAGTTCGTTTTCCCAACGTCTTTTGCGCTGTTCTAAATCAAAAACTTTAATTTTTTACAATCGACCAAATTTACAGTTGACTAAATTTTTATGATACCAAATAGAAATATATATATATAAAAAAAAAATTATCTTGTGTGTGTAAATGCCTACTTTTTAAGCGCTGGCGTAGTTCGATTTTTCGTGAAATTTACCAAAAAGCTATCACTGCATACGAATAGCTGCGAGCGTAAGTTCATAGCAATACGGATTCAGTAGTGACGGCTTTTTCGCAACTATCACAAAAAACTGACGCAGCTGTATTCAGCCGTAGGCCCTGAGTTATTAAGCGCTAATGCATTGCTTGAACTGGTAATTTCAGCGGAAATTAATTTCTTATGTGTTTTTTTTTTTTTGCATTTTCTGTTCACACCTTTTGGCGCCGATTGCTTGCATTTTCTTGGTTATTCTTGCCTTTGTCAGATGCCCGATTTGCTTGTAGAATTTTTTTATGCAAATTTATGGAATTCATAATTATTATTTTTAATAAAATTTTTTTCTGTCCCGTTTTTTAAGGATTTTTTTTTTTTTCATTTAATTCTTGCTGTCCGGCTTTTCTATGCAAAAATATGGAATTTATAATTTTTATTTCTCATTACATTTTTTCTGTTCTTATTGCTGCTTTAAAAAGCAATTTTTTTTTTTGCAATTTCATAGTTTTTCTGCGCTCGCTATTGTTACTCGCTCGCTTGCAAGTATGTTTTCCGTACACACTTTTTTCTTTTTGCAAGATTTTATTTTGCAGTAAATTTTTTTTTTCTGTGTAATTTTGATCGCGCTCTGTTATATTTTTATATCTGTTTCTTGCTTTTATTTTTTTTTTTATTTTGCCGTTTTCCAAATCACCGTTTCGTATATTTGCTTTTATTTGTTTGGTTGTTTGCTTGTTACAGCTTCTCAATTACATACATACGTACATAGTACAGTACATGCAATAGCTTTGTTGTTGTTGTTAATGATACAATACAAATATGATGCTTTTTTTCGTGTTTATAATCATTAATTAACAAATTGTAAAACTGAAAACTTAAAATTACACTCAAATTTGAAAAAAAAAATAATAATTATAGTAAAAACATTTAATCAGTTCAATCCTTTAATCATTATTTTTATAATAATCCTGCATTTAAAATGTTACTGTCATTTTTTAAAAATACCAACTTTTGCGCTTTTCAAGTGTCGGTGCAAAAATTAAAACTTAATTTTACAAACACAAAAACAAAACTACGATATTTTTCATGATGACAAAGCATTGAAAAATGTTGCAATTAATTTCATATTTTTTTTTCTTATTTGCAAACACAGCGAACGGGTAGACAACAATGTAGCGCAGCAGTTTAAGGTTAAGGTTTTCTAATTCGCTTAACTTGCTGTTAATATTTGACGCTACTTCTACCATTTTCCTGTTGCGAGAGTCAAGTTAAAAACTTCTTTGCCAACTGTTCTCATTTCTCCTTTCTCTTCCTCTTGCTGCCTCAATTTCTTTTAATACCATTTGTTGTTGTGTTTGAAATAATAAAAAAAATTGAGTTATATCACATTTTATATGATTTTATACATTAACTTTCGGCTTTGCAGTCTGTTTGCCTATGCAACAGATAAGTGTTGCGTCAACATGTTGCAGAGCGCATGTAAAGCGCACGAGTCGGCAAATTGTTTCTCTTTTTTTCAAACTCATTGCTAACATTTGACCGCAACACTGCGATTGTTGCACACAGTTTTCGAATTTTTGAGTGTTTGACAGTGTGTGTGTGTGTGTGTGTGTGGGTGTATGCGCACGCAATGTATTGCAGCTTTAGAGCAAGAAAACACGCAGCCGCACCCGCTACAAGCAGTTGCCTACGCCGCGTTTGAGTGCGTGCGTGTGCTTGCAGCTTAAAGTTGATGTTGCGTCATAGCAATGCAGCATGTTGCCAGCAACATATGATGCGTTGAGCGCAACATGGCCAGAGATTTTTTTGGGGACAACTGCTTGAAGCTGCTTAGCCAGCGGCGGTGTGTACTTGCTTTATTTTTGTGCTTGTTGAATGTTTGTATGTGTGTGTGTGTGTGTGTTGGCTTTTAATTATGCAGTGATGTGATGTGTTACATGCCGTCGCGCTTTCTTTTCCGCTTTTATCTTAACGTACATACGTACTATTTAGTACTTTTGTTTTGTTTACATTTTTAAAACAAAAATCGATTGCTTTTTTGTATTGCTTTGGCAGTTCTTGGCTAATAATGTTTGCTGTTTTGAAAAATTCTGCATTCCCTTAAAATCGAAAGCTGCTTGTAACTTGCATGTGTATGTAAAAAAATAAATATATGTATGTATGTATTTAAAATATGTAGTACAACTTTAACAACTTTGTTATACATTTACTCCGTAGCAACAACGCTTAGCGCTATTTCTCAAAAACAGCAAACATTTTCGCAGCCAATACTTTTAACTTTATGTTCTCTTACTACTTTGGTTGGCAATGAAAATCTTTCACTAAAAATTTTTTTTTCTTAATCAAATCTTAAGCCAAAGCAATACAAAACAATAAAAGATTCTCATTAAATTTTTTGTATACCTGCGCATACAATTCTTCAGTCTATACGACACACACACACACAGACACAGCAACTATATATTTAGTTACACATTGTTATTACAACAAAAAAAAACATTCACCAACATTACACAATCCCACTTATGTAACGCCACCAAATCTTCAAAAACTGTGGCTTTGAAAGTTTTCTGATTTGATTTTTTCTCGCTTCTTCTTCTTCTTCTTCTGTTTATTTTAACTCTACTCCTCGCTTCAACTAAGCTGATTCAACAAACGCTTCAACTTGTGGCGCTTAGGAGGATGGCAATGGACCATTTGTGGTGGCCGCTGCTGTAGTTTCATCACCATTGTTGGCCGCTGCTGCTCCTGATGCTGCTGTGCCTGCTGTTGTTGTTGTCTCTGCCGCTGGACTGGCATCGTTGCTCTCGTTAGCCGCAGCTGCTGATGTTGGAGTGCCAGCTTGCTGTTGTTGCTGCTGCTGCTGTTGCTGAGGCGCTGCAGCAATCATATTGTTGGCTGGCGCTGTGCCACCATTCGTCGTGCCTGCTGTAATCGCCGGTGTTCCTGCATTGCTGTCATTACTTTGGCTGTTTGAGTTGCTACCAGCGATTTGTAGCTGCGTTTGCATTTGCAATTGTTGCAATGTCTCCTGCGACATATTCGCCTTCAGTATGGTATTCTCAACTTCAAGTTGATTGATCTTATCCATCAGCTCGGAAATTTTCTCCTTGAGTACTTCAACTTCCTCGCGAACAGCTATCATAAGATGGGATTTGACCAGATCCTATGGAGAAGAGAGGGAGATAGAGAGAGAAAAATACGAAAACTAAATTAGTGTGTGTTGATTTGAGTTGAGGTGACAAGAAAGAAGAATATGCAAGTACTGTGTAAATATTTAGATACATACCTACATACAAATAAATAAATATGCGAGTGAATTGTTCAATAAATATTGACTTGAAAAATTTTATTTATATGTATATATATGTACCTACACATATCGTACATTCACACGTACCAACATACATAGTGAATAGTACATACATATGTAACAAAACACCCACAGTAAATAAAAGTAACCCTGCCTAAAAAATGCATATATGTATGTATTCTTCTTTTAATTTTCATACTTTTGCTAGTTAAGTAATGATTCAGGCACGCATGCCTATTTGCTGTTTATTTGCTTCTCGAATCCCACGTGCATCATAATTTTATAAATCAATATTTTTTTCAAATGTGGCGCGTGTAAACACATACATACTTAGCTACAGCTACAATTTCATGTAGTAAATACAAATTAGCAGTACCTGTTGTTTAAATAAAAAAATGTATGCAACAAGTATCTATGCACATTAGGGTGCATCACTTAAAATACAAAAAAAAAAGAAAAAATCCGCTATTGCTTTCCCAACGGAATTATAAAACTTTTTATATTTTAAGACTTCCCCCCAAAATATTTCGAAAAAATAATAAGATTATGTAGGCTATATCAAATGGAAAATAGCAAAAAAAAACCTCATTATTTTTCTGCCGGTAATGCAATTTTTCAACATTTTTATGCAGATCTTTTGAGCTTGAACTCTTTATCATTTGACGTGAATTTAAATATTTTATTTAATGCTTTTCGGAATTTTTTGGCGGAAGTCATAAAACATAATAAGTTTTATAATTTCGGTGGAAAAAACCGCAACTTTATTTGGCGAGACACCCTAATGTACATACATACATATGTATTTGCATTTCTACTTTGTACTCCAAAAGTCTAGCGCCGAAGTACATATCTACATAAGTCGGCGAAGAGTTTTGCAACATGGCTGTAAATATTTGTCCACAGATACTATTTTAAATTTTGTTTTCGCAAGAGGCAGCGAAAGATATTGCAGACATTATTTGCATTAAATTTTATCACCATGAGACGATGATAAGATAAGTAAAAAAAATTTTGAAATGCAGCGGAGGTAGCCACCATATTTTATACTCGTAAACTTTAGTTTTATAAGGGAAGTTAAATCAAAAGATTCCACACAAAATGGTAGTAAAGAATCGAGTACGAAACACTCATTTATCACTTCAGAAGATTCAACAGATGCGTTCCTAGGAGCTCACACCGATATTACCAATTGGGGAAGTTACATTGTAGGTAGGTATTTTCTCAGGGCCGTTCTAAGCGGGCCAGTGCTTGGCCACTAGCTACGATAATTTAACTCTGTAGTACTAAACTTTTAAATTTCCTGGAAAAATAGACTAATAGGCAATTATTGAAAATATTCCAAGCAATGTGTTGCATACACAGCGAAATTTCTCATAAAAAAAAACTAATGAGTATAAAATGCTTAACTAACGTGCGCAACTGATGTAGTTAATCAAAGACGAAAGTAAACAGCGTGTGCCAGAATAACCAAAAAAAAAATGTGAACACAGTTGCCCAACAAAAAATGCTAATGTAATTTAACAATTTTTCTAGAAAAAGGAAACATGCAAATAAATAGTTTAATGCTTCGGAAATGATGGCTGACACGCGCGCATGTTTACCTTTGAGGTGAGTACCAGCTGGGAGTTCACACCGCGGCAAATATCACAGAGCCAACCCATCGGGAGCAAAAAAAAAAAAAAAACAGAAAAGAAAACGACATTTAATACGGCAAAAAAATTGCACGTCACATCAAGCCACGCCAAAGGTGATTCATATTTATGCCGTGATTGCAATAGTTAGGCCAAACGCGCCACACTACATTCACAGCCGGTGGGCAACAGAGTGAGGTGGTGTCGATGCCTCAGACCTATCTACTACACATACGCCATATGGTAGCAACAAATTCACAACAATAGAAGTAGTATGAATATGCACTGCCAACAGACAGTGCTGACAACTCCTTAGAGACAGCTGCTACTACGTCAAGTCAATACTTTAGCTGGTAATTTGTTTACTGGCCTCAAAATTTTTTTTTTTGAAACATGTGGAACATATCATTCAAAGTCGGCTTGAAGCCAAAAAAAAAAGCACAAACTAGAACACGAATATTGCATTTTTACTTGTTCAATTATTCATATAGGCACATACATACATACATACTTACTACATAGTATGGCTGCCCAATGGCGCTATGCTACTGTGCGCACTAGAGTCTCTTATTTTTTCTAGTATTTTTCTGGTAGTGTGGACCGTAGACTAATGGGATATTATAAGCTATTTGACAAACGTTAAAATACTAGTGGAAAAGCGATTGTGAAAAGGCGGCAGCACATTGTGTGGGTGTATCACAGAGACATGTGCTTGGAATAATAGCTGTTCGTTCTGTCAATGCATTGTAGCACCAATAGTATGTACATAGCTACATATTTGCACATTGACCGTTAACTCCGCGAAAGATGTGCGGTAATGGAAAATGACATTATTCAATATAACACGTAATAGCAGAAAATGCACGAAAGTGCAAAAAACATTTTAGCGCTGAGGGGCAAAAAAATCAATGCGCTAATATCACTTTGTGGCTATTAGAGAGGGGCAGGCAACTAGAGCTAGGTGCCAATTAACCCATTCAAGACCATTAAAGTAAGATTATAAAAATCGGGATTGAATTGTAGTTTGCAATTTCTTTATGGATATATCGACACCTGAGGGGAATATCGACCTATCTCGGCAGCAATAAAGCTGTGTAAAAAAGCATAGAATTACGAGAACTTCATACGTTTTCCTTATGAATAAAGTCCTTTAGATATCTGAACCACTGGTCATGAAAGAGTTAAGTTACGGTAGTGCTTAAGCATTTGGTTAGCTGCTACTACCAAGTAAGTAGACAAGTTGTGAAAAAATAAAAAATAAAAAAATTCTGAAAATACGTGTCAATGGTAATGGTTTCATTTTAGTGCTTCTTCAAGAAAGTGGGTCAATATGGGTAGAACGACAGAAAAAAAATACTAAACTTGGTGCCAGAGTATGTAGTCGTGTACGTGGTGGCCTTGCTTATTAAGGTATAGAGAGAGAGAGAGAAGATAAATGAAAATTTATGTATGATATTTAGTTCAGCACACCCAACGGAAAACTAGTAAAAATTGTAGGTGGTAATTAACCCAAATTTGAGCGATGGCTGATAGTGCACGGTTTCAGTTGTTTTAAATATTTGACGTAGACATTTGATCTCATTTGAGGTAACTACATATATATATATATGTATATGCACTTGGTATCATTAGGATTAGTTTTTAAAATGTATGTGCAAACTTTTATTATTATTATTTTTTTCTCGCTAATATTAAGCAAATGAGTCAAAAATTGTGCGCCTTGTACGTGTGTAGGTAACCATATACATATGTATGTATACTGCCAAAAGTCATTGTGCGCTTAATGCCTCGTCGCATTCTCTGCCATGAGTTGTGTGAGCAATTTTGGCATGACCGCGTTTTATTTACATTTTAAGTACATACATGATGCTTCTGAAATGACAAAAGAATTGAATGTTAAATGAAAAAATCTTTATAGGTAATGTTTTTTTTTTGTTTTTGGCTTGCTACAATGTCCATCAAATAATTGTAATTTCAAAAATATAAAAGCCAAATCAAGGGGCCTTAAACATTTTCAACACGTGTCAAAAACGTATGTTGTATTTTTTTTTACAAATTTTCAAACGCACTCACAAAAAAGTGAAGAAAAGAAATAAAAGATTTTAGATTAAAAAATAAGTAAATATGTAATGCAATGACTTAAAAAAGTAAAAAAAAAATGGAAATATAAAACCAAAAAAAGATACAATAAAACAAAATTAAATAAACTAAACCAAAAAAAGTATATAAATAATAATAAATATTAATAGCATTATGTATTATAAAAAATAAATATCTTTCGACTTGCATAAAGACAACACAAATACAAAATTTTAAATAAGAAAAAATGAATTAGAAAAAAATATAAAATTTAAAATAAAACGAAAATCAAACATAAAACGATAAATAAAACCAAATAAAATAAAAAAAATAAATAATATATAATAAAATTAAAAACAAAAAAAAAACAAATCAATTAAAAATTAATAATAAATATTAAATTATGATTATGTATAATAAATAATAAATATTTTTCGACTTACAAGTATTTCTATAATTTTTTAATTATTATTTTTTTTTTATTGGTTATAAGAAATTTCCACTAGGCACTAAAATGCCAAAAAAGTTGCTGCCATCTTTTTCTCTCTTTTGAATCTTTTCTGAAATAGTTTCCTGTTACAATATCAGCTTGGTATGAAGTTTTGCATATTTTCCGACAATTTTTTTTACCCCGTTTTCGAACTCCGAACATAACTAAAGCAGAACATAAAAAAAACACGCTCAACTTCAAACTGACTTTGTAAGCGCACCTTTATTCTGAAAGTAAAGGCACGAATATTAATTATTGCCGAACTTGTAAAAAAAATTAATTGTGTAATTTGCTGCTCAGTGTAATGCCACCATTAGTTTTATGTAATAGCAAGAGAATTTTCGAATTTTGAACTCAAAATATTATCCCATTAAAAGTATTAATAACCACAATAATGACAATGGAAAGTGGCTTAAAGTAAATTTTCTTACATTGTGGCATTTTAAAAGAAAAAAAAAAACAAAGTTAAACCGTCTGACAAATTTTTACGCGCTGCTGTTAAAGCCAAATAATTTTGGCTCTTAACCAAAAGTTTTAATACCCATTTTTCCAACGGGATGAGTGAATTCAATTTCTTTGCTTATTGCTTACAAGTTATGACTTTTGACAGGCTGCTGAAATACGCCTTGGGAAAAGTAAAGTTTTTATTTCTT